AAAAATCCCCGACCCCCCCCCCGTATAAAACGGGGTAGCTGTTTCCCCCGAGACGAGACTCAGCCCTTCGACATTGCCATGTCTGGGGATACTCTCTGCCCGGAGGCAGAGCGTTTAACCAGTACAGATGGAGACGAATCTCCAACTGCAGACCAACATACAGTATTTACTACTGTAAATATGTGAATAACGACATACCCATTATCGTCCGTAGGTATGCTACAACAATTACCATCAGCAACACCACTATCGATAGCCTAGTGAAGATTCTGATATAAAAGTGAGATGGATTCATGTGCTGACGTTAATATCAAGAGTCGTAACAGTCTGGTACAAGGCTAAAAGAACTGGAGACGGGAGAATTTTTGCCTTGCGAAATCAGCATTCAAAATGACTCATACACTAAACGAGGATAGAGAAATGCACAACTACAAAACCGCGCTGTATCAGGCTAATGTCGGCTTGTCTTTAAAATCGGCATTCGAAGTAATTTTTTCAACACGAGTTTCACACTTTAGTTTAATACATTTTACTTATATATATATATTAGTCGTACATCTTTAATCCGACACACTTATGACCAGGATCGTCCTGAGTGTGACGATAAACTACATCCACGTCCTGGGTAAAACGATAAACTATCCGCATCCTCGGTAAGACGATAAACTACGTCCAACAGCAAGGCCTCTGATCAGGAGGTTTTGAGGAGCGTGGAACCACCTTTTAATTGCTGGTGTCCCCAGATCCACCCTGACCCGTGATGGTAGCACCTGTTAGCGTCCCAGGAAATAGTTAACCCCCAAACTGGGGTCAAAACACTATGAAAGTGTAAAAGATAGGTTTTAATACCAGAAATACTTTGTAAAAAAAATTACCAGCAATACATTAAAAAATACCAACAATAAAAATCTTGTCGGCATTAAATAACTCATTGAGGTTGATATGCCGTAAAAAAAAAAAAAAAAAAAAAAAAAAAAAAAAACGAAATAAAGCATTTTTGTAAATAATTATTACCAGCAATACATTATTACCAGGAATAAATCTTTAAAGAAAAAATTATTACCAGCAATACATTTTTTTGGAAAAACAATATTACCAGCAATAAAAATCTTGTCGGCATTGAATAACCCATTGAGGTTGACATGCCGTAAAAGAAACCAAACCAAACTTGTTACTAGGATACTACCGGACCACAGAAATTACCCCCTTGGTACTACTGACGCCAGATGTCAGCGGGTGTTATGACAATAGTTGGTCCATTGGTTGATTTTACGACGTGTCAACCCATATTTACATTCTGACTAATGCCATCGTTTTTATTGATACCATTACACTTACAGCGTTTCTGTCAGGTGCTTGTCAATCCACGTAACCTACAGAAAATTCCAAACTAAATCCTTTATTTAATCTACAGGACTAGATTATTCTTTCTGCTGTCCACACACACAGGGATATCTAGTCTTGTTCTTAGCAATGCTCAGTGTTCTACCCCTTCTTAGTGGCAGAGTCGAAGTTTTCACTGCCCGACCCAGGGATTGAACGCACGCTTACTGCATCACCCAATTCACGAACAAACGCCTTAATCCACTAAGCTATTGTTTAAATAAAATGCGCAATTCGAAATTTTATGAAGATTACTCGATTTGACAGATACCTGATGAAGGCTAAATGGCACAACAACTAAAACGTGATAAAGATGAGGACATTAGCCCAAGTATAAATAAGTTGTGTATTTTATTGAATGGTTTTTCAATCTTCATTGATCATGTTGTGTTGGTATGATTTGAAATGTTCAGGCAAATTATTATTAGTTACGTCCAGGGTATGACGATAAATTGCATCCTGCAGCAAGGTCTCTGAACGGGAGGTTTAGAGGAGCGTGGGACCACCTCCTAATTGCTGTTGTTCCCAGGCTTATCCTGAGCCGGGCTGATAGCACTTGTTAGGATCCTAGCTATGGGAAAATAGTTAACCACTAAACTGGGGTTAAAACACTATGGAAGTATAACAATACATTTTTATAGAAAAAATACCAGCAATACATATTTAACAAAAAATGAATAAAGAAAAAATGAATAAAGAAAAAATGAATAAAGAAAAAATGAATAAAGAAAAAATGAATAAAGAAAAAATGAATAAAGAAAAAATGAATAAAGAAAAAAATGAATAAAGAAAAAAATGAATAAAGAAAAAAATGAATAAAGAAAAAAATGAATAAAGAAAAAAATGAATAAAGAAAAAATGAATAAAGAAAAAAAAGAATAAAGAAAAAAAAGAATAAAGAAAAAAAAGAATAAAGAAAAAAAATAAAAAAAAATAAAATACCAGCAATTCATTTTTTTTTTGTTAAATTACAGATGTTGCAAAGAAAATTAAATTTCGACATTTAATGACCCATAAGGAGTTGATATGACTCGAAACAAACAAACAAAACTATTATCAGTCCTTTGTAAATATTCGCCTTTTATGTGTTAAATACTTTGCGGACATGGGTGATCATGGTCCTCCATATTGTCCTGTATTTTGTGGCTCAAAGTAATTTTTGACCCTTTTACAATTGTTTTCTGTTCCTTATTCTATTGCTTTCTGTCCCTGTTTTGTCATTCATTCAAACAAACTCATTTATTGACTCAATTTCTAGGTCTGCTGCTAGGAAAGTTGGTTCATTGTGTCGTGCAGACAAATTTTCTCGTCAGAATGCATCTTGCACATTTATAAATCTACCATTCATTTGTACATTGAATATTAGTACCATATCTGGTCTGGCTATATATCTTGAAATTCTTGATAAAATCCAAAGAAGGGTCTGTAATGTTATCAGTCCTGACTTCAGTCACTTTTATATGGCCATGACGTGACTTCTGTCTGTCTTTTCTATAAATATTTTCATGGCAGTAATACTAGACTGGCTACTATGTCTCGTCGTTTTTCTGTTGAGATAACTAAGGTGGAACCATAAATTCTATTCTAATAGTTTCTTTTCTCACACTTCTCGCCTGTGGAACTATCTTTCAGTTTCTTGCTTTCTTTCCACCTACAGAAACTTAAATGCAATATCAATCACCATCTTCTCTTTTCCGGAATCCTGTTCTTACTGAAGTATTATTCATACACTTCCAGTAATCTCTTGCATCTTAGCGGCATTATCGCCTTGCTTGGGATGAAATGATTAAACAAACAACAAAAAAAGCTTAACCGACTTAATGAAATATTATAAACACTTATTGAACGGTGATGTGATCCAGTTAAAGTGGGTTCAATCTTCAGTGAAGGCTAAGAGTAATGTCAGCGTAGATGTTATCGGCGCGGAAAGTGGAATAGACGTTCAGTGGTCGTTGCGTTTACTTTCGTACAAATACCATCAATTCTCCACCAAACTATGGGTTAAATAATAAGGCAGACCGGGCCTTGGTCGGCAACCTGTCTAGAAGAGGAACATCTCCGAATTTCAAACCGGTGGGGTCAGCTTGTAAGAACTTGCTGCAGAAACAGCCACAGCCACACCTAGCGTGATGAGGCTGTGGCATTATACTCTAAAGTAGAGTGTAATGGCACTGAGGCAAGGGAAGATACTTGAAACTTGTTTTTGTGCCTTTCATTTCCGAAGATTGATTTTTTTTTACGGATTAACTTTTAGAAGGTTATTTAAAGCCAAAATATTTTTAGAGTGCAAGATATTTTTTTTTATAATAATTAATCATAGTTGGAAGGGGGAGAAGATGTAGATTTATAGCTTTACCAAGGGCATTTGCGCGTAAGCAGAGCCGTTATCCATTACACTGCACGCACATCCAAACTTACAGCACCTGATATTCCCAAGCGGTCACCTATCTAGGTACTGATTTGGTTCAGCGTTGCCTAACTACGCTGATCGTACAAGAACTTGTATTTCAACGGGACATGAGCGTAAGCCTTTATTTCCGAAGAGCAAGAAATGTAATCAATTTTAGTAAATTATTAGTCTAAGACAGAAAGGCGTTTGCTTTCACTTTCCCTGTCTGGAAATGTGAAACATCATGGTGGATTTTCAGTGCTTCCTGCTTAGCAAGCCAACAACATGGCAGATTGGTTACTCGCGCTGCGTCAATTGAACTTTAATAGCTGAATTTCTCGTCGTTCTTTGTTAATGGGCTTTAAGCTTTAGTTGGACGAATCTGCGAATGGTCAGTCGAGCATAAAGTTTTCAAATATCTCGCGGCACCCCTGAGAGCTATCCGCGGCGCACACTTTGGGAGCCCATGTAGTAGCCCGAATGAGATTAGATACATTCTCAATGGCTGAGAAGAATTCACTGGCCCGTGTCAAGAGAAACTGGTTTAATAACTTTCTGCCGCTGCCATCAAGCAAGTAAGATTCATTATAGGAGAAAGGTTTGTTTCAGTTCTCATTCATCTGCTGTTCACTCCTAGGGCACCTCGATGTCGTGTAATGGTTAACAAGCTTGTCTCGGTTAAAGAATTACGACCGAGTAGTGAGTTCGATCCTCACTGGGTGCCCCATACTTTCGGGCTTGTGCCACATCTAAGCTACCCTTATAAAATCACCGTCGACAGTTTTCGTCATCAACATTTGTAGTGTATTAGTATTTTTAAGGGTTAAAATAGTTGTTGATAGAACATTGAAAGTAAATATGAATTATAGCTAACGGTGGTTAGCACAAACGATACAGGGTCCACATCAGGGCCATCCTGATGATCCGTAAAATCTTCCTTAGAAGTTGGTTGACGACGTGTCTACATGGACGCTGTTCAAACCACAGAAGCGAGGTTAGTTCAACATGTAGGAGAATGCCGTCGAAAACACCACACGCAGAATACTTCCTCTGCGTATTTGCGGGAAAGATTGTTAACACGTCAATCCATCCACAAACCGAAAGCTGTCCAAAGAAAAGAAAAAGAAAAGTGAACGGGGCGACTTCGTCCGAAAAGACAGTCTACAACGATGACGACGAAGAGAAAGGAAGAGATTCGTTTTACGTCGGTCGACATAACCATCCTTCGTTAAAGAGGTGAGGAGACCGCGAAAAAGAGGTGAGGAGACCGCGAAAAAGAGGTGAGGAGACCGCGAAAAAAGAGGTGAGGAGACCGCGAAAAGAGGTGAGGAGACCGCGAAAAGAGGTGAGGAGACCGCGAAAAAGAGGTGAGGAGACCGCGAAAAAAAGAGGTGAGGAGACCGCGAAAAAGAGGTGAGGAGACCGCGAAAAAAGAGGTGAGGAGACCGCGAAAAGAGGTGAGGAGACCGCGAAAAAGAGGTGAGGAGACCATGAAAAGAGGTGAGGAGACCGCGAAAAGAGGTGAGGAGACCGCGAAAAGAGGTGAGGAGACCGCGAAAAAGAGGTGAGGAGACCGCGAAAAGAGGTGAGGAGACCGCGAAAAGAGGTGAGGAGACCGCGAAAAAGAGGTGAGGAGACCGCGAAAAAAGAGGTGAGGAGACCGCGAAAAAGAGGTGAGGAGACCGCGAAAAAGAGGTGAGGAGACCGCGAAAAAGAGGTGAGGAGACCGCGAAAAAGAGGTGAGGAGACCGCGAAAAAGAGGTGAGGAGACCGCGAAAAAGAGGTGAGGAGACCGCGAAAAAGAGGTGAGGAGACCGCGAAAAAGCGATCTTAGTGATCTCTACCCATCTTCCTTTTGATTTTTGTGCTTCTTTATGAAAATTTGCCCGCTGTTGACGTATATATACTTTTTATAAACTCCGTGAAATATCAGTCCTCAGCCTTTGTAATCAATGCCTACTGCTATTCCCAAACAAGCGTAGATAGTAGCGTTCAATATAATGCGTTTTGTGACAATTTTGTAGCAACAAATTAAACATCACTTATTTCGATTAACCGCGTTACTTAGAACGATTACTTCGCTACTTATGTGATTGTAAAAAGAATTGGCAATAATATAAATGAGAGATTGCTACAAAAAGGCAATTGATTTTTTTTTTTTTACAGCTAATTTGTTTAAAAAATGCACTATTTGCGTCACGACAATTTTTGATAAAATGGCGCAATAAACTAAGTAACCAAGTAATCGTTTTAAGTTCTCTAAATATCAGTGCCTATTTTTATTATACTAAATTTTTTTTGAAACATGCGTTTTGAAATCCTCACAGGAATTCACAAAGGATAAAAGAAATGTTTTGATAATTACGGTGTTTTTCTCGATTAGTTTCGTACTAACACTAAGAAATTAATCCGTGAACTCAAGAGGATTAAAATAAAAATAAACAGACATAACAGGTCTTGAGATTGTTCAACTAAACATGCTATATATATATATATAATTTCATTCTGTGACTTCTGTTACTCCATCCATCACACCCTCTAAAATAACCATATACTGACCTATGGAAACCAAGTTATGAAGAACTGCAAACAGATAAGATGGTACAAAAAATTACTTCTACTAGCGTGCTTAGTTTAGTACAATAAATTTTCATTAATTATTGGGGAAAAATTATAAGTTTTATTTAACATACAAAATACTCCCACTATTTTAAAAACAATTTAATGATTAAAACAACAAGTACTTATTTAATAAAAATGCAACATTGCTTTTTTTGCATCTTTAATTTTTTTATATACAAGAATCCAGTTTACCTTGCGTTTATGAGAACTATAAACAAATCACACGGCCAAACGCTTCAAAAAGTTAGAATTTGGCCCCAGAAAGAAATATTTACATATGCTCAAGAATAAGAAATCTTAAGAATTTGTTCTTCGCTGATAAAAAGGAAAAAAATAAAAAATAAATTCAAGAAAAAATATTGTTTACATTAATGTCCTATAAAATTAAATTCAAGAAATTATTAAACCGCGAATTAGGGTTTTTGTCAAAGTAATTTTTCTAAAGAAATCAGCTTATTCGAATTTCATTGATTTACGAAATTGAACGAAACGTAGAATTTGTAAATATCAACAAAAATGCTAGTGATAACTTCAACAATACTAAAATACTGTAACGATTTAAACACGCGTCCTTTGGGAGATTTTATCTCTATTATATATATAAAATATGTGTGTGTGTGTATATATATATATATATATATATATATATATATATATATATATATATGAGAGAGAGAGAGATAGATAGATATTGGTTTTACGACTACAATTTTGTCAAGAGGACTTTTCATTTGAATGATTATAGTTCAGTCTCTCAACATTTAAAGGAACATTCCTATCTATATTCACGATTTCGAGAAATATTGACAATACAACTATATTCCAACAGGAAAATAACTAAAACTTCAAATTCTGTAAGGTCTTCATATAAAAAGAAAAAATTATAGTCAATAATGGGTGTAGCAACAAAGTACTAAAATGTTCATAACAAAGTTTTAAAATATCTAAATTGTAATTGTTAAAAACTAAAAAGAAAAAACACGAAATTACAATTTGAATAAGAATTTTAATGAGAATTTACATAAATTAAGTTATCTCCCTCACATAGCAGCAAAATTTTGTTGAATTTTACAGCGTTCATGCTCACATATTCATAACTTACATTAATTTTTTGTCTTAGCAATTCACCCCTGAAGATGATCTTGGATGAGTTTGAAAGTACTTGGGGGGAAATAAAAAACAATATTACGGTGTTTTTCTCGATTGGTTTCGTACTAACACTAATAAGTTAGCTCGAGAATTTGAGTGGATTAAAATAAAAATAGACAATGTCTAGATTATTCAACCAAACATGCTTGAATAAAGCTATGTTGTGTGAGTGTATATATATATATATATATATATATATATATATATATATATGTGTGTGTGTGTTGAGAACATCGTTTCGCATCTGATCGAAACCAAAATGGCGACACCCATGAGAAATCGACGTCGGTGCATTTAGTCATTTATTTCCAGTAAACGGATGTTTTTTTTCTGAACAGGATGGTATAGCTTGGCAACAATGCAATAGCAACAGTGAAATAATCCAGATTTTTAGGAAACATGTTTTTTTTTCGCAAATTGGAGGAAGGTTTTTAATCTGACCTTCCTTCCAAAGTCGGAGAGTAAATCTCTCACGCGCTTACGTTTTAAACATTTCTTTTATCCTTTGTACAAATGCACCCGAGTGTGCGGGTAGAGTAACGGATATCAGCGCGGATAATGGAATCGTCGAGCCAAGCTAAAGTTCCAGACGAAACCCGTTGCGTTCACTTTCGCATTATTGCATTCGGGGATAAGAGATAAATATACGAGTTAAATGCTAAATACCAAAGTAGAATTAGCTCTCAAGCCTTACATGGCCACCAGTCTAAAAGAAAGAGAAACCGAATTTCAAGCCGTAGACAAGGTGCATAAACCACACCTCTATTGTTTACACCAATTCAGATAAAGAAAGAAAAGGAATATGTGGAGAGCCATGATCGCCTACACTTAGAAGGGACATAGCATTAAAAATGCTAACAATACATTTGGAAGCAACAAGAATGAGGAAGAACTGTACGTAACTTTGTGAGGAATTGGTACTATTTGAGAAGAACCTAGGAGGGAGTGGATCTGCCGGCAGACTTACAAGCATATATAAAAGAGGAATGTTGAGTCAAAACCATTTATTACCCGACCCCCCGCCAAGATATTCCCATCTAGCAAATTCTTTTAATTCTTTCCACCTAGCTTAGTCAAAATATAGCATCTACTTATTGTATCACTGACGTTTTCACACAGTCGTTGTGGTTCTCGTTGGAGCTAAAGTGAAAGAGAGTCTTAATACTTCACTTACTTTCCAGGCATCTGCTATGCATCAAGTGACAGCAAATCTTATATGTTCAGTACCTACTGTTAAGCCTCACAAGTCTTGTAGGTTTAGACAGTTTTTAACAAATCAAATTTCCAATTCTTCTACTAAATATTCCAAAGACTGTATCGGTCTAACTCTGCATTTAGTCATCCTGATTCCAAGGACTCTCTTTAACTCTCCAGTCATCATGAAGATGCTGTAAGGTCTGTCAGATTTTATCATTTATGTCTCATATCTTCATGTAATTGTTGAATGTACGACCAACATCAGTGTGTTCGTGCTTTGATATCCCAAGAAACATATCGCTGATCAGTGCATCCTTATTTCTTTAAAATAGATTTATTATTTTTCATTTTTTACGGCTTATTAACCCCTTTTACACCCGAGACATGACATTGTAAGTCTAGGCAACATACAAATATTCGCTGAATTATTGAAACCTGTATTACCAGTATTTGTTTAAAAAAATAACAAAAAACATGACTTTACTGTAGCGAACACGCGCCAGTACAGACTCAAAAGAGGCCCCGGATCGCATGCAGACATGTCTGTCAAAATTTATTACAACCGAATTTTCCCAGTTAGCATCGGAACAGCTTGATATGTTCAGATACGGGCCTCTCTGCAACTTGTCTCTATCAGAGTTTCTGGCAGTGTCTCCCGTCAAGAAAATCGACGAAAAAAACAAAAAAAAAAATAGCAGTTGGTAAAACAGTCTTGTGAAGTCGGTCTCTTGGACATTTTCTTCCTAAAGATGATATATTCTTAGTAAGGTAGTGTCATTTTGTTACCTCTCGTCTCATTTTTTTTTATGTGCCTATTACCCCGGTAGCGGCTGGGAGAGCTATCGTTTAGTTTACCTCAAACTCAATACAACCTTGCCGTAGCTTACAAAATATACTCACGGTCGTCCACTCGTCCAATGATTATCAACGTGAGCTCTTAAGCCCACAAGTGGAAAAAAAATTGGACCACAACGAAGAAAAAAAAAAGAAATTGGACCACAACGAAGAAAAAAAAAGAAATTGGACCACAACGAAGAAAAAAAAAGAAATTGGACCACAACGAAGAAAAAAAAAATTGGACCACAACGAAGAAAAAAAAATTGGACCACAACGAAGAAAAAAAAAAAAAAAAAATTGGACCACAACGAAAAAAAAAGATCGAGAAAAATTGAACTAGTCGCATCCAAAAGTCAATGGGCCGAAATGCTTCTCTAATACCCCAGATATCCATTTTAGTTTTCTTTGGAAATTTACAACATTCACTGAATCCTCAACACATGACATTCTTTCACGTCGGAATTTATCAGCTAACATTTTGGTATTAGTCATCTTACGCACTTCCTGGTTGCACGGATTCTCATGACTCTTCAATCTTTACGGACATTCATTGCGCCGAACAGATCTTCGGCTTTATCTCTCGTATCGTCACATAATTATTGAATGTAAGTTTTGAAAAGACGACCTATATTATTGCCCCAATGTTTTGGATTTTAAAGTTTGAATGATTTGTGAACATACGAGACCCTCGCCTAAACTTTCCACCGACTGACCAATGATTACCCCACGTTTCGACTCGATAGTCACTCACGTTGATGCGCACCGAAAACTGGATAAGGCCCGCTGCATAGGCAAAGGGTAAAGAAGATGAAAACTTGCACCACATTGAGATGTAATAATGCGAACCTTGTTTACAATATTATAAAATAGGCGTTTTTATTCAGGGCGTTTGGTTTATTTTGTTTTACGGCATATCAACCTCAATGGTTTATTTAATGCTGACAATTTTTTTATTGCTGGTATTATTTTGTTAAAAATCTGTTTCTGGTAATATTTTTCCTTCAAAATTGTATTGCTGGTAATAAATTTTTTCCAAAAGAAAATATTGCTGGTAAAACTATTTGTCCATAGCTGGTACCCTAACAGGTGCTACTACCCCGGGTCAGGGCGGACCCGGGAACACCAGCAATTAAGAGGTGGTTACACGCTCCTGAAAACCTGATCAGATGCCTTGCTGCTGGACATAGTTTATCGTCTTACCCAGGACAAGTTTTTATTCAGGGTTTCGCCTGCTTAGTCTGGGTGGGTAGTAAGGTGACATTTGGAGACAACTTTGTACCTTATCAGTCTAACAGCTAAACTACCCCCTATTAAGTCTACCAAAGAAAAAAAAACGCATTCAGTAAACGTCTACCTTGAGTATCTCTCGAGCATTGTACTGGACGAGGAATAGTAAAAAAAATATTAAGTTAGTATTAGTATTTGAAACAAACTATTAGATTTAGGTTATTGGGTTTTATTTAGTCATTTTGGTCAATATGTGGTTTCAGGTAGCCTAGTATGAATTTGTTTTAATGTTTGTATTTAGTAATGAGCTCGTATCTGGGAGTTTACTGGTAATGGCTATTTTATTGTCTAAGCAAAGATTACATAGTTTTGAGGTGTTGCGAGCCGGTGCTGTTCTTTTTTTTTCTGGTTTATTTTTTGATTTATCATATATAATTTGAGAGGAACTGAAATATAGTTGCACCAAATTAGTCACACATTATCAGAAAAATATTAACTGAACACGTGAAGTAACGCTCATCTTTATAGGAAAAATATAATCCATATATTGGAAGATAATCGTTTTTATAATGTTGAGCAAGTAATAAATAAACGTAAGCAAACCTAGGAAAATTATTGAAGAAAAGAAAATCTTATGTGAAAATGAGTTGCATTCCTGCTGCTGTCTCTCTTTCTTACAACTGTGAGAAAATGGTTTAAGGTCTGTCGACTTGTGCACAATACATGGGAACAAAGCCGCCTCACTGACAGTGAGAAAAAAAAAAAAAAAAAGGTTTGTAAGCGCTTAGCCTTCAACACTCAAACCGGCCTCATAAATATCAGCTCTCAACGTCTCACTCTTTTGGGTGACCACCTACGTTATTTGGGATGATGTCGTCATATATTATGACAGTGTATACATGAGGCGGGTTACGGCGGGCTGATTATTGAGAGCCGATATTTACGATGTGGGTTGAATGCTAAAAGGTTTAAGGCACATTGATGAAGCTTTATTTAATTTGGCACAGTGGTGTGTGTGTATATATATATATATATATATATATATATATATATATATATATATATATATATATATAGGGGAAGGAGAGAGAGAAGGGGAGAGAGAGAGAGGGAAGGGGAAGGAGAGAGAGAAGGGGAAGGAGAGAAGGGAAGGAGAGAGAGGGAGAGAGAGAGAGAAGGAGAGAGAGAGAGAGAAGGAGAGAGAGAGAGAGAAGGGGAGAGAGACAGAGGGAGAGAGAGAGACAAGGGGGAGAGAGAGACAAGGGGAGAGAGAGAGAGAGAGAGAGACAAGGGGAGAGAGAGACACAGGGGGAGAGAGAGAGACAAGGGGAGAGAGAGAGACAAGGGGAGAGAGAGAGACAAGGGGAGAGAGAGAGACAAGGGGAGAGAGAGAGACAAGGGGAGAGAGAGAGACAAGGGAGTTGAAGCCCATAAACGTAACCGTAAGTTTTATGCCAACCGTTTCTTCTCAAGCCTTGCGCGTGGAACTCTCTTCCAGCTTCGTTTTCCAGTCAACTTTGATCTTAAAATTTTTTAAAATGTTATGTTAACCATTATTTTGTGTCTTAAATTCTGTGCTTCTATTATTCTCTCTCATTAACTCTTTCATATTCAACACACTCAAACCCGACCCGTAGATATCAGCTCTCAAAGTGGCGCTTTTTACGTAACTTTTCGCGTTATTTGCAATGATGTCCTATATTACAACAGAGTATACATGGGTTGGGTTACGGCGAATTGAACACAAAGTAGACATTTATGGGGCGTGTTTGGGCAGGGTTAAAGGATTAATAATGAAAACTGAAGGAGATGGTGAAAACTAGCGTTGAGTTAACTATTTTTTTTTTCGGTCAAATTTTATATTTGGCAGCACCAAAACTAGAGTGAGTGAAGAAAAAATTTGTTTTATTATGTAAGAAATAAGGAACACAAACATATCTTACATAAAGATACAGCTATACATCACCGGTGCACATCCCTACTTCTCAACATTGCCATTGAAAGAGGTGGTGACTGTGTTCCACCTACGAACGACGGCATGTATCCCTCCTTCGTAAAACTTAGCTGGATGCTGATGCAGCCAATTTCTTACAGCAGTGTTCACTTCTTCATCGCACTCTCAGTACCTGTTTCATTGGAGCAAAGAGAAGAAGTATGTGGGTACTAAGTCAGGTGGCGATGACGAACTGAAAACCGTTATAATGAATCGACTTCAGTTGCGTTTTACGAAGTTGAGATACATACCGTCATTCGTAGGTGGACACTGCCATTGAAAGAGGTGGTGACTATGTTGAGAAGTAGGGATGTGAACCTGTGATGTGTGTGTATATATATATATATATATATATATATATATATATATATATATATATATATATATATATATATATGAGAGAAAAAACTTAGCATAGAACTTACGGTTACATGTAGCAATTAAAACTGTAAAATGATGAAACCTAACTGCCAATCTAGTACTGCGTTAAAATTCGTAAAGAAGAGTTACCAAAGAAGGAAGCTCATTAAAACGATTAACATGAAAATATTTATACACTAGGCTCAGAACAGCTACATTATGTCTCTACAAAGAGTCTGAAAATGTACCAATTCCAAAAATTCCTTAGCAAAAAGCAAATATTAGGATTTTTCCTTTTGATTCCCATCTTAATCGAGCCAACTTTCATCGAGTGTGTATAAATTCTTACGCCATTTTACCAGCACTAATAATGATAAAAATCCTACACAAGCCACACATTCGTCACGTTCACTTGTAAACTTGCAATTCGTACACTAAACTATCACATCACATACAACTCATATATATGATTAAGTAAAGGTAAATATAACTAAATCATATGATACAGAATTCACTGTACAGAAAAACAAAAAAAAAACAAAGAAAAAACTTAAAATATTCGAAACTGCAATTAAAGATACAACCGACTCTAAACGGCAAGTTTCAAGACAGAGGGCGGCATTAAAAAGAAAAAAAATGTCTTCTTCGCCATCAGATGCTGCCAAGTTTTGTAGCCAGTGTCTTATTTTTTTTTCAATTTGAAGTCTATACCTATAACAATACATATAGTTACAATCCATTTTTACGCATGACGCCCTTTGTATCCAATACACGTATCTTTAAATGAGAAATCTGATGTAAAAAAAATAAAAATTTAAAAAATCCCAAGTTGAAACTAATAAAACTTTAGCAAAATGTAACCTTCGTACCCAAAGTAAAAAACAAAAAACGAAAAACAAAAAAAACACCACCACCAACACCCACAAAAAGTAGCGAAGGAGAGCGAGAAGAAGGGACTAAGCATAAAATACAATACAGAATGCATTGTCATCAGCAAAAAGTTGAGCCCAAAATGCAATTTAGAGGTCGAGGACACTAAAATCAAGCTGGTACAGAAATTTAAATATCTGGGAAGTGTTCTGATAGAGGATGGAAAGTGCGACACTGAGGTCCGAAGACGTATTGGGATGGACAAAGATGCATTCCCAAAACAGCAGAGTATTACGAAACAGGACAGTTTCGTTAAAAAAAAAAAAAAAAAAAAAAAAAAAAAAAAAAAAAAAAAGAGAACTGCTATGTGATATCTGTCCTCCTGTATGGCAACGAATGCTGGACAATCTCCTCAAAGGTGAAAAGACTTGAAGTAACGGAAATGTGGTTCTACAGAAGGATGCTATGGATATCATGGTCCGAACATATGAACAACGACCAGGTTTTGGAGAGAACAGAAACAAAGAGGACACTTATGCTTAACATTAAGAGGCAGCGGAAATGTCCCTGACATGTAATGAGAAAGAAAGGCTTGGAAAATCTGATACTCACAAGACGGATAGAGGGAACGAGGGACAGGGGAAAGCAACGAGTGACATATTTAATGGGCTTGAGCAAGTGCATGGCGGAACAGGGTCTGGGGGCGAAGTAACAAAAAGATAAAACATTAAGAGCTACAACGTACAGAAGGAGGTGGAGGGCCATGATTGCAAACGTTCTGAAGGGACACAGCACATAAAAAGTAGATACACGAGCACAAGTTTGTTTAACTACCAATGGATATTTTTTTTCTCTTTTTTAAAATTATTTCCCTGGCTTCTTTTCAATATAAATTTTCATCAGAGACTATAACTAAAGTGGTCAAAACACCTAATATTTGAGACAATAAAAAGAATCCCGAAGAAGGAAAGAAAAAAAAAAGACCAAAAAAAGCAAACATTTACCTACGCAGTAAATTAAAGCGCTGAACGTCGAGACTATTTAGACAAGGCAAAATAAGCTTCGTAACTTCGACGAAAGAGAGTTCGAATCGCTACTAAAGTTTCACGCTCTCACGATCTTCAGGCGAAGGGAACGCATTCTAGTCGCTTGATGATTACGAGAGCGTGAAACTTGAGTAGCGACTAGATCTTTCCTTCGTGAAAGTATATGCATAAAAACAAAGTACTTCTGTTGGTTATTAGCCAAACTTTTATAAATGAAAAATTGCTGATGAAATACACTATACATATGTTAAAATTTGCTATATTTATACAGGAAGTCTTCTCAATATCGGAGAGATGATTTAGGTTGGACAGTGAAATCAACATCTCCATGCAATGTTGATTCCTCCACCCTCACCATGTGTGTGTTTAATGTTCAAAATTTGGAAATACAACAGGCATAAATACAAACACACAAGGTCTTACCGAGAAAAATATATATATATACTCAAGGACACATGTCAAGGGGATAAAGGCGTTAGTTAGATCCAGTGACAGGGCCCAATGATTGCAAGTTCAATACCGGGTTAAGGCAGTGGAGAACTTAGAGAGGAGAATTAACAGGAGAAAACTGATAACTGACATCCATTAGACATGGTACGTGGAACTAGAACAATCTACCCCAGTGAGCGAAATAAAGGGTTCAGTTCGACATTCCAACCAACTGAAGAAGGCCGGAGCGTACAAAGGTCGAAACATTGTAATAAATATGGCGACAAAGATGAGGACAATAGTCCGAATAATGTAAATGGTGTACATAATACATCATCTCAGAAATAGATAGATAAAAAATATTTTCCAGGAATTTTCCGAATATTTTTATCAGGGGTAAAAATCATCTACTGGTATTAAAAGTCAACACCAGCAGCGAAATACTGTTTATAGGGGGAAAGTAATATATTGTGATCTCTTGGTGAGGTGTACTTCATATTTCATTTCCTGATCAGAAAAAAAAATTAATTTAATATTTATGATTCCTTTATGTTAACTGCTCTACACTGAAATGCTTTTAGTTTTTATCCAGTTTGTTTTTGTGAAACTATTATTGGTGAACCAACATAGAAAAGAATGGCGTTTATTTTTTTTATCTCAGCTTTTATTGTTTGCGTGTCTCATGACCAGCAATAAAATCTGAAGAGTGTGTGTTGGGTGGGGGGTGGTGGGTCTTAAAGGTAACCATCCACCTGACCAAAAGAGAATAAAATAGATAAATCCAAACCTTTTCAGGTTAAGTGACAACAAACCGGACGGTGAGGACTTCCGGTCTCGGGTCTATATTAACGACCATAATGGCGATTGAGAAGAAGTTCTGGGCTGTTTTCCAGTTTCTGGGTGCGTACCGACACGAACGAGATTGCAATATGGAGGTATCATTGTCCGGTCGGTGAGAAGCTGAGGGAGGATGCGGTTGCATGTTTACACTTTTACACTCGTTAAAGGAGTAAACTAATACCAGTGTGAAAGAAAAGAATTTACCGCTCACCGTTCTCATCCAATAACCAGACTGACTTGACAGCCTGACACACTGGTGAGAAATGCAATCAGGCTAATGGTACTTCGCTGCTTCGAGTTATATCACCCATTACCAACCAATCACATTACTTAGTAGAGAAAATACGTATGAAATAACTCATTGCCTTAAATGTGTCAAAGAATACAGCGGAGATGGGCAAGTTTTTAGAGAAGGACCGCATCATTGTTTGGCCGGTGTAAAGTGGGCTCTATCACAACTAGTTTCAGAGTGGCAATATAAATAACAAACATACATGTACCTATGATTTGTACATCTATTTGCTTATTAGACAGTTCGTGAACAGGCTTCACGAATGGACGAGAAATTGTTTACACTATTTATATTCGAACTATTGTCCCGATCTTAGTTGTTACTACCACAACGTTTCGGCCGTTATACACCTGATGAAGTCCGGAGGGCACATCGACCTGTGTAATCTACAGGGATACTGAACTGAACCATTTATTTAATCTACGGATTAAATATTTAATCCAATGCTCAGTCAACGGGACAGTGTGAACCGATGCAGGGATCTAGGTGCCTGTATGTACACAGGAAGTCATTTCTCATCTTTTCTATAAACGTCTCACGAGATTTATCAGAAATTTCTATTCTTTTAAATATATTAAATATTATTCCACTAGGAATAACGG